ATCATGAAGGACAATTTTCTCACAATTTATAAATGCGGACATTTAGACTCAAAGTGGGTAATTTTCTCAAGATCATAACACTAGCATTACTAGTCATTTGGGTTTTCAGAAAATACCCTAAATTATCAGACTAATGGAAGCTTGTTTTAATCTACTTTAAAATTTATTTTCTAAAAGTTTCTGGTATTGGGAGATTGAACCCAGAGGCACTTTACTTAAACCCTGAACTACATCCCCAGCACTTTTTAATTTTAAGATAGGGGCTACGTTAAGTTGCCAGGGCTGGTCTCAAACTTTTAATCTTCCTACTTCAGCCTCTTGAATTGCTGGGATTACAGTCTTGCTACAGTCACAAACAGGCTAAGTTTAAGAGTAAATTGCCTAGATTCTTAGGGTTTAGCAGGAAATATCTAATAATTCAAATTATCTATAGAATACTAGCAGGCAACAAATGAAGTTTATGTTTTACCTATTTCTTACATCCTTTAACTACAGGAGAATAGTATATAATTACCAGGATAGAACAGGACTTATTATACACCGGAAGTCCTATATTTAAAAAGACATTTATACTGAACAAAATATACATGCTCAGCCTCATTTAAGACAATTCATTACCTGAAATAACAAAGAATACAGCATACTCCACAAATAAAATTTCGAAGTAGTTTAATTACATTTATAACATACAGAGGAAGTGGTATATTTAGATCCAGCTGAATTAATAAAAATATTTAGAGTGTCTTGCATACACATACACATAGTGAAAGGAAAATAAGAACAGGAAAAAAAAAAATGAAATGACATTTATAGACCAATTTCCATCTTGACAGACAAAAAGCATGTCATTTAATACTTGCTAAAAGAAGTGACAACACTGGCCTGGAGTTTCTCAGTGGCCAATTCAAGAGGGAAATCCATTCAGAATTATATTCTGCTATATCCCTAAGATAAAAAAATCAAATAGTATAAAAGGACTACTACCACGGGGCGTGAGGATAAGGGAAGGAAGTGGGAGAGAAGAGACACATCTCCAAAATTGACTAATCAGACCCAAAATAATGAATCAGAAGATTTGAAATGTAAGTAATTTTATAGATAACTAAGTATCTATAGATATGTAAGTAATTTGTATTTAACCATAGATACAAACTATCTTCAAATACCCAACAGAATGATAATTAGGCCACTAAAAAACTCAGTATATTTTTAAAAATCGAAACTCACCTATGCTAGTTATTGAACTGAGAAAGTAAACATCAGTTCAGCCTGAGAAAGTAAAAAGTCTGCCCTGCCATTGATCAAGTTGAAATCATAGAAAACCAAATGGGAAACCATATTTCTCCCATGACTACACTGTAGCTATAAAGTGAATAGGCTAGCATTATCCAGACACCAAAGTCAAAGAAGAACAGCTCAAAAAGAGTAATGATTGGTTCATATCAATTATGACTGCAACAACGAAGTAAAACACTTTAGGATCTACTCCAGAGTAAGACATGGGCTGGGGATGTAGCTCAGTTGGTAGAGTGCCTGCCTCACATGCACAAGGCCCTGAGTTCAATCCCCAGCACCACCCAAAAAAAAAAAAAAAAAAAAAAAAAAAAAAAAAAACACCAAAAAATAGAATAAGACATGCCGAAGAATACAAGGGTTGTTCAATATTAGAAAGTGTATTATTAATGAAGCACAACTAATTCTAGGTGAGTTAATACAGTTCACTTAATTCCAGATGGGTTAAGGAGTTAAATGTTAAAAAATAGTTTTTCTAAAATTTAAAAAGTGAAGATTCATTCTCTTAGTGGAGTATTGAGAATAAAAAGAAAATAGTTTTGACCATATAAAAACATAAGAACATTCAATTTTAAAGCCAAATTAAAATTGAATACTGAGATAAATGAGAAAGGAAATGAACTGTCAATCAATGGAAAACATACAAATGGCCACAAAAGATAGACAACATTAATAGTCAAAAGTGAAATAACAAATGTGCAAACAAGGTTTTTTCCAATCTTAGACTATGAAAAAGTAGAATGCCAGGGCTGGGGATGTGGCTCAAACGGTAGCGCGCTCGCCTGGCATGCGTGCGGCCTGGGTTCGATCCTCAGCACCACATACAAAGATGTTGTGTCTGCCAAAAACTAAAAAATAAATATTAAAAAATTCTCTCTCTCTTAAAAACAAAAATGAAAAAGTAGAATGACAGCAATAGTGCTATGAAACAAATATTCTCAGACTGCTGGTGGAATATAAACGATTATAATCTTTCCAGAACAAGAAATACACATCAAGCCAGTACAAAAAAAAAAAAAAGAATCTTACAAATGCTCATGTCCTTTGACTCATTAACGAAAGTCAATCTATGCTAGGCAAAAAATAAGAGATGTAATTGACAGTTCTTTGTAAAACATTCAACAACTGGGAACTACTACATAAATTACTCATACATCCAAAGATTAGCCTGCTGTCACTGAAAATAAGGATTTCAAGAAATTTAAGGAAATAAGGAAATGTTCATCAAATAATTTAAATTAAAAAAAAATAGGGCTGGGGTTGTGGCTCAGAAGAAGAGTGCTCGCCTAGCATGCATGAGGCAGTGAGTTTGATCCTCAGCACCACATAAAAATAAAATAAAGGTATTGTGTTCATCTACAACTAAAAATGTTTTTTTAAAAAGATACACACACATTGTACCAAGTAGTGGTTATATTAGACGATTTTTCTCTTCTGCTTTTTTGTATTTTCCAGATGAGTGTAAAGTATTTTCATGAAGTTACAAGAAGCAATGGGGAAGATGGTGGTGGTGGTGGTGGGGAATCAGGCTCAGTTTTCATTAATTTCTTGTTATTTTAAATGTAGAACATACTTCTGAAATGTATATTATCAAAAAAACTAATGAGCCAACTCTACTCCTTGATGTTAATCTACATATATAGTGTAGTAATACATATTTGCTACCCATATTAAAGTATATTAGAGTCCAATATGGTGGTACCCAGTAGTGGTGTGAACAGTGAGGAGTTTGTGGGGCAGAGAAAAATCAATGCCAACCACACCTATAAACACTAGGGCCAGTTTATAATAACTGTAATGCCCATGGGCTGGGGATATAGCTCAATTGGTAGAGTGCTTGCCCATGCACAAGGCCCTGGGTTCAATCCCCAGCAACACAAAACAAACAAAAAACTGTAAGGCCCAGACCTCAGTGTAGTAAAAAACCTCTGCAAAGAGAGAGAGAGAAAAAAATTTTTTTTTGGTTGATTTCATGTTATTAAAGAAACAGACAAAGTTGAAATGGATGTAGTCAGAATTGAATGTTGAAGAAGTGGGAAATGATAGGAGCTGAAAGGTGTTTAATGAACATTGCATTATTCACTTCAATCCTCCTATGTCATCTCATTAGAGCTAAGCACAAAAGACATCAAGGTAGGCTTCCTAGGATGATTTCTGAGCCAACAGTCCAAGACATTTTGTTTTCTGCCCCACTTAGCCAAGACTCAAATCTAATTTTAAATTATAAAATAATAAACTGCTGTTTTACTGATTTTGTAAAAAATAACTATCAAAATAATTTTCTGGGGCTGGAAGTGTGGCTCAGTGGTAGAGCACTTGCCTAGCTCGCATGGGGCACTGGGTTCGATCCTCAGCACCACATAAAAATAAATAAAGGTATTGTGTCCATCAAAAAAATTTTAAAAAGTATAATTGTGAGAAAAATAAATCTCTGATAAAATATATTGAAACATATGAATATTTTAAAAATTTTTTATTCCTTAAGCTATTCTATCATAAGCAGTACACTTAATGTTTTCTATATAGTGTTAATGCTCCTCTTCAATCAAACTTACTACAAAACCACTTGTTAAGGAACCTGTAAACTACATTTATAAAACAAACCTAAATTAAAAGGTGTTCATTATATAAATATTACTTACTTAATGTCAGTTCAATAAATCTATTATTTGAATATTCTTTTTAAGACTACTCAATATTTTCCATATAAAAATGTAACTCATTAATACAATGTGTACATCATACTACTTTAAAAGCCCAAGCTCTGGATAAATTTAAATGTGGACTGTTAACCGATTACACTTGTAAATTATGACACAGATATGCCTAAATCTGATACCTTAAGCGTGTCCAGTATACCCCGATCCTTAAACGTCTGGTACAGCTTTTTTCGCAGTTCATCTTGACTCAATACATCACACTTGGGAGACATGGTAGACTGGAAGAGAAAATTGTTATGAGTTACTTGGTGGGCAAAGGGGTCACTAATTTTTGAAAACAGACCAGCAGCCTCCCCGGAAACCCAGAGACTTCATTTCTGCCAGTACCGGGGAAATGGCAGGTATAGCTAGCTACCTGAGCCATCATCAGGTATCTGCTTCCTCCCGAGCTCAGTCGCCAGGACCCGAGTTCCAAAGTTCAGCCCAGGCTGCAGGCTCAGGACAAGAAGGAATCCCGGCCTGTTTGGGGGGAATAGGGAAAAACAAGAGAGCTGAATGTTCTGCCTAACACTCAAACTAGGAACTCGGAAGAAGATGCGTACTTCCTTTCTCCGCGGTTCTGAAGGGTGGGCGGGGCCGTGACCCTAGAGGGGCGGGAACTGTGAAAGGCTGCTGGAGGGCGGACGCCGGGGCGGGGTGGCAGGGCAGCACCCAGAGATTTCATGGCTCAGAGCCCACATCACCCCTCCTCGAGGCCCGCCAAACTGAATCGCCTTTGTCTGGACTGTTACAGCACACGCGTCCATCTGCGCACGCGCCCAGTGCTACCGGAAGCTCCACCCACATCTCGCGAGAGCGTACTATTAGGGTCTCGCGAGTACTGCTCCTGGAGTCCTGACTGAAGCTGGGGAGCGCGGGTCTCTGTGGCGCGAACTGACTGGGCGTTTCCATTGTCGGCCTTTCGCTACAGGTAGGGGTTGGAGCGAGTGGGGGGCGGGCGCTCCGGGTCCTTGGGGGACGTCCCAGGCTCCACGTGAAGCGGATATTGGTCTTGTACCTCCACCCCGCCCCGGCCAGCCGATTCAGTTAGCCCACCAAGCAATCCACACTGTGTTTCGATCTGCAAACGTCCGCCTTTTCGGAGGCTTGGCTCTCACTAGGTCATTCAGCTAACCCAGTGTTTCTTAACCACGGCATTATTGCTATGTGGAGCTGGAAAATTATTTGTTGTAGGAGGCAGTCCTGTGCATCGTAAGATAGTCACAGCGTCCCCGGTCCGTACCGTCCAAAAGCCAGTAGCTCTCGGCCCTCACGCTCACAGGTATGAGAACCAAGTCTCCGGACATTGCCAAACAACCTCTGGGAGGCAAAATCGCCCCCAGTTTTTGAGAACCACGGAGCTGAGCTTTCATAGAATTTCCGCCGTTGTGTGCTCTGAGCAAGATTAAAAAAAGGTGAGCTCGATCCCCAAGATGCTCAAGTGTAATTAGAAAGAAAAGGAACCAGATCTCTCAGCAGTAAGAAAATATCGCAGCCAAAGAATTGAACAAGAACGAAGATGCCTTGTAGACTGGGTAAACAGTTTAGAAAAAGGGAGGCAGTTTAAGATGAAAGTAATCAAGGACATATCTGTGGAAAAAGTGTGACTAATCAATGCTTTGATAGAGAGGATTTGAATGATGAGCACTGAGGAGAGCTTTGCTGGAAGGGGGAAATGTGCAAAGGAATGGGGTGGGGGTGCGGATTCTGTCCTGGCTCCCAAAGTCGTGCCCTGGGGAAATAAGGAATTTAAGTCCTATGAGGACAAAATTGGTCAGTGTCAGCTTTTTGCACAGTACTGAAGAGTACAATGAGGTTTGATCCTTGGCTGTGAAAAGTTGTAAGTATCTAAAAGCCAGCAGGAGTAACACTTCAGAGGAGGTGAAAAGCCTATAGGTTTTTGTTGGAAATAATTGTGGAAGAGGGACTTAGTTGTACATTAAAGAATGGGAAAGGGTTGTACAGAATCAGGGAGAGCATTCCAAGCACAAAGAAGTAAGAACAGTCTGGAGTGGATGTAATCCAAAGTGAGTTTTAGAGGAAAAGTAAGAAGGCTGACCACTCAGCTCTATCAGAGGTGAACAATAAAGTTGAGAAAAGACGTGGAACAATGTGGGAATCTGTTTGGGGTATTAGTACATGATGTGGTAGTTAAGAAACATTATGGCTTTTGAGCAGAGCAGTGAAACAATGAAAACAGTGTTCTGATAAGTGTTGATATGTTACTGTTAAAAAGTAGAATCACATGCTCACTGTTTAAAAAAGCCTGAAGACACTCCCAACCCCATCTTTTGATCCCAGAGTTGAATAGGATTAGGTAAAATGTTCTAAGAGTCAGCATAAACCCACTTAGGGGTGGGGAAATTGCTTATAAATTAATGGAAGACTTCCCATTAGATACTTATCAATAGTATTCTTTTTTTTTTTTTTAAACCCACTTATTGCAATAGTCAGGTCCCTTGCCACACCGCTTTAGTCTTGCAGCCCCAGGTCTATGGAACAACTGAAACCACTGCTCTCAGGAGCACAGGGCAATTAAGTTCGTTTATAGAGGCTGTAAAGAAATTTTTTTGTAAGAAATGGTTGGCTTTGGAACTGGGATGCATGAGTTTTGCCTTGCATTTCCCTGCAGTTTAAAATTCTTAAGAGTTGGAAAGGAATTTTAAGTTAATTGAGATCATCCTCCCACTCTGGCACTGGTGGTCTTCTAACCACCCCTTACACATTTCTAGCTTCCTTGTAACTTCAAAGTAGCCCTGAGCTTGGCCTACAGAGCTGTTTGGAATGTCTTTCCAATCCAGAGTCTAAATATTTGGCACTCATGTAGGCACTGCACTCCCTATAGTAGACATGAATAATTAATCACAGCAATTAACTGCTGACATCACTTTGTCTTAGTTTCTTTCGCAGCACCAGTTCCTGGTTGATAGTACCAGTTTGTTAGAATTCATTCACTAGAAGAAACCTTTTGCCATCCCTAACTCAAATCCCTTTTCTATTAGATAGCATATAGTATTGTGCTGCACGCGCGCACACACAAGCAGTCTCCCCCTCACTGCAACATCTTCAGTTCCTCTTGTTTCCAGAGCATTCTCTAGCCTAGATCCCACCCTCCCTTGTCCAAGTTAGTTTAAATGCTGAGCTAAACTAGGTTAAGGTCAACCTCAAAGCCTCCTTAGAGACCCTGGGCCATAAATTGACATAGAATAAATATGCAGTGTTCTTCAGGTCCTGACACTCAAGTCAGCTGTGAGTCATCCCTTATTCAGCAAATAATCAATGCTTACTCGACCTCTGGCACTTTTGTAGCTCTGGAGTTACCACAGTGAATAAGACTGCATCTGTTTTCATACTGTGTATCATTCTAGCAAGACTACTGTCATCACCCAGGCTACAGGTCTCCAGTTTGTTCTTAGATACTGGCAAAAAGTGATTTACTTACTGTCTACCTACCATATTTCCCTTCCAAAACAAAACAATGTAAATTTTGCATGACTTGTTCTCAGTATAAGTGGAGTATGTGAATAAATAATAACCTAATCTATTTCTTCTAGGTATTCATATTAATGAACTTATAATAAAAGCTCCTGACACAGTATCTGATCAAAAATGGGAATTTAATACATATTTCTGTTGTATTAGTCTCTTTGAATGTGCCCAGTTATAGACTAGGAGACAACTTTTTTCCTGTTTCTGAAAATAGTAGCATTTATCTGTCTCTGAGGTTATAACACTTATATACCAGGGCTTACTCAAATGTTACTAATACACAATAACATTTTGTTAATCCAAGCTATATAATTTGTTAGGACCTGAAGACGTAGATTTATTGAAATGCCTATTTTCTTAACATGCCTACCTTGAAATTTGCATCCTGCCTAACTTGCTTTCTTCCATGCTTGCTGTTTGAAAGTTATTCTCTTTAACAAAAAATGGAAGTTAAGCAGATCTGTGTCCTCTTCAGTATGTACCATGTACTTGAAGCAGTTGACCTTTTTCCCCTACTCTTTCCTCATCAAAACCCAAAAATAGGCTTTTTAAAAATTTTTTTTAATATATTTCACACTTTTTCAGTTTCTTGTGGGCTTTTGCCCTTCTGATTCTAGGCTCACAGATTTCTGGTCCTGTTATGTTCATTACTAGTTAGTGACCTGCTTTCAACATCATTTATCTGTTCTCTTTAAGGTAGCCAGAGAGCACCTCATATCACCTAGTTGATTTCTTTAGTTGTCTCCCTCTCAAAAAGAGGATCAAGTCTCCCTAGCCACCAGGGACCCTTTCTACCACAAGTGAGAGTTCTGGCTCTCCTCATCAGCCACCAAGTCTAGTCCCTTGTCAAACTTTAGTAACCTTTCACAAACAGTGTTGATCACCCGAGAGTCCTGAGACCCCTGTGATTTCAGCACTAGAGCTATCAGTTCATTTCAGTGTTGAGGCTACTTAATGCTGAAATCCCACCTTGTCCCTAATTCCTGCATTCCAGCACATCTGAAAAACTACAGCCCCTTCTCTGCAGTTCCATTCTGCAAGCGTTGGGCATCCTTGTGATTATAGATATGTAGTGGAAAAAAAATAGGCTGTGTTTATTTCCACATTGTCTTTCCCATGTTGCTGTGGTTATCTTCACATTGGTATATCATGGCCTCCCACAATACCTTTCATGGTATTTTGAAACCCATGCTCCTGGTAAGTGAACTCCCTTTGTCCCCTGTCTCTTCATAAAACATACCTTCTACCCATGTGCTGACACTGCCTTTTTTCTTATACCCACAGGTTTCCTACTGCTGCCTTAATATTGCCACAACTTCAGTGGCTTAATATAACAAATATATTACCTTACGGTTTTGTAGATAGAAATTTGACACAGGTCTCACTGATCAGCAGGACAGTGTTCTTTTTTGGAAACTCTGAGGAGAATCTGTTTCCTTGTGTTTTCCAGCTTTAAGAAGTCACCTGCATCCCTTGGCTTTGGCTTAATCCTCCATTTTCAAAGCCCTGAACACTGTAGCTTTGTGACCATCTGTGTGCCTACATTTCCCTCTGACTTTCCTCCTCTGCTGCCCTCTTCCGTATTTAAGGATGCTTGTGATTATATTGGGCCCACCTGGATAAGCCAGAATAATCTCCTATCTCAGGGTCACTGATGAGCAGCGTTAATTCCATCTGCAACCTTAAAGCCTCTTTGCCAGGAATACTAACATACAGGTTCCATAGATTAGGACTTCTCAAGAGAGGGGCACTGTTGAGCATGATCACCTGAGCAAGGCATTTGGAAACCATGCTAGATTCTTCTCTCTTCCTCAGCTCCCCAGTTTAATTCCCAAATTCTGTGTAGCTACCTCCTTACCTCTAGACCTGGCCTTCCTTGGAGATGATTCAAGGGCCTCTATTAAGGTGATGGGAAAATTGAGCAGACTCATGCCAACAGGCACTTTAACCATATTGATTGCTTTATATAATTTATTTTATATATTGGAATTCTGAGTAATACTTGCTTTGTGGGTAGAAAAGATTGCTGAACTTTTTATAAGAGTTTGCAGTCATTGATCTGTAGTTGTGCTGTTCTGTATTGTAGCCATTAGTCACATGTGGCTATTTATGTTTAAATTAATTAAAATTAACTAAATTTTCAAACTTAGTTCTGCATTCACACTGGCCACATTTCAAATGCTACTCACTCCCATATTGGACAGTGTAGTTATAGAACATTTCCATCCTTGCAGAAAGTTCAGTATATTGGACAGCAATAGTTTGTCTCACCTTTACCCATTATTACCCAATGGTAGTGAGCCTGCAAGTAGTTGCTAAGTAATTGCAGGTGTTCTGTTCCTGAGACAACGGGGTTATTTTCTCCCAAGGTTTTCAGTTCTTCTGCTTCACCTGGCAGGTTTTCTTCAGTAGAATTGGGTGGAGAACTACAACCCTTCTTACTTGAGCAGTTTGTGAAATCAAATTATGGTCAGCTCAAGTCAAGAATAGAATGTAGGTAAGGAAAACTGTCTCATCTGCTCAACTGGGTGGTTTTTAACAGAACTCTTCATTCTATGCTCAAACACTGTGCATCTCTCCCATTGGTGGATTCCATAAATGGGCGAGAGTCTGGGGAGGAATGTATACATGTATTTCCTTCTGCTGCTTAAGTTTGGTGTTTGTGTGTTTTCTCCTATTGCTATTTAAATGTTTGTGCTGAAGAAAGTAAGCCCTTCCCTTGGGAAACTCCAGCTCTGAAGCCTCTTCCAACAAGAGTTTATGATATCATTATTGGTTCAAATTTCAAATTCCTTTTGCTCTTCCTGCACTTCCATTGGAGATTTGTTGCCAATTCCCCTAGTTTTGCATAGCTTTTGTATCATTCCTGCTTATCTTTGTTATTCAGTTTTATTATTTGAATCTTTCATATCTTTCCCCTAAAATAGGGACAAACTTTTTTTGTAAAGGGCCTGATGGTCTCTATTGCAGCTGTTTAGCTCTGCCATTGAAGGGTAAAAGCAGCCTTAGACAATAGTAAGAGGATGCATGAGGCTAGATTTGACTAGCAGTCTACAGCATGTCAGCCCCTGCCCCAAATAACATTTAAAATCCTACTTCATCATGCCAAAGGAGTTTGTCTACCTTTTCTCCATAGTCATAGTTAAAAGTACCAAGTCAAGTTAAAAGTGCCAACTAGGCCCTGATTTCCTGATTAGGAAACAGATTTCTGATTTCAGTGCATGTTCTGTGTGAATCAGCAGAAGGCCTGGTGAGGTTTGGTGAGTCTTAGGCTCTATCTGTCCCAGATGTCCAGGATGCTAACTGGATACTCCCAGTTAACTGGATTCCCACCACACATTGAGGAGTTACTAGATGCTACCTCCTGGTGTGTATATACTCTTCCATGTTGTTCTAGATAATCGCTGTGAACCAGACAGCATGCATTAGATTGTGGCATCCTTATAAGCATACCATGAGGAAACTGATGTTATCCCTGTTACACAGATGAGGAAACAGAAACTGGGAGAAGGAGGACCATGCCTGTGGTCACATTGCTAGTGAGAGGCAGAGCTAGACTTGAACCTGGCTTTGTTTAACTCCAAAGCTCTTCTTCTAAAAATACAAATGTGTAAATCCATCCACCCCCACTCCTCTCCCCACCAAGCCATCATCTGTCTTTCTGTGCATCTAAAGCCTGGAATCACTGACTATCCCTGCCCAGTTTCTTAGTTTTGTTTTGTTTTCTTTAGTCAACCCTTAACCCTAGTTCCAAGATCTCAATGCCTCAGAATTTTTTCCTTTTGGATTATTTCTTCCATTTTTTTCCTAGAATACAGAATTGTTTCTTCCTTATAAATTGGTGTATGAAGAGGCATATCATAGGCTCTTGCATTTGCAGACTTAAATTTGTAGCACACATCCTTTAGGTAGAAAGAAGACAAAGTATACAATTTGTAGACAAATGCTATAGTGTCTCCTTTATGTATACATGTGTGTGATACAGTTGTTTTTAGCTTCTTCTGAAGGATGCCTCCTGGAAATTTCCAAGGCAAGCTAATTATTGCTTTCATCTTTTCCACATTCCATTGTACTTAACTATTCACCACCCTCTATTAATCTTCCCAGGTGTTGATGTGCAGGCTAACTGGTTCAGTCCAAATTAAATGTAACTCCATCAGATACAGGATTCCTTGAGCTGAATGTTCCAAACTTTCATATCATAAAAATGTTATCTTTGTGATTTCATATTAGAGGCTTTTCAGTTTCCCTCTGGATATACAGTATATTGGATTCTCAGTATATTATATTCTATAGGACATATCATAAATATCTAATTTGTATAATCCAAAAGACACATATATATGATAATATACTGGAAAGCATGTCAAACTGAGTGGCATTCTCCTCTACAATGTGCAGTTTAAATTTAAAAAATTCTAGAGTTTGTGTTAATCATTTTTGGATTTCATTCAGTATTGAGTACTAAAAGTATATTATTTTTTATTTAATTTAATTAGGAGCCATATATTGAAGATAATGTCCGGAAGCTTCTACTTTGTAATTGTTGGCCACCATGATAATCCAGTTTTTGAAATGGAATTTTTGCCAGCTGGGAAAGCAGAATCCAAAGTGCGTATGAAAGCTTAAATTCCACATGAAAATTTTTATGCTCTTTTAATAATATGGTATAGTATGATTTTAGAAATGGAATCGATCTGGACAGATGAAGCAACTCAAGTCCACCACAGTTAAATGAGGGTCTCTCTGGAGGCCCACAGACTGATAGAAGCCAGCTAGGAGATGTCTTTGAAATTATTTATTCAACCTTCAATTCAGCATACACTTAGTACAGACTAGCATGATGCCCAGGTCTCTTTCCTATAATATTAAGTTCACTATGTCACCCTCTATGAAGTGCTGCTTCTAAAGTGCATGGAAAGACAATCCACCTGTAGTGGGTCTGGATGAATAGTCCTTGCTGCCTGGAAATGCCATGGAAGTCCATTCTGTTTCACTGAATCACATTTTTCCATCAGGACAGACATAGTAGATCAATTTATATACCTGAGAGGGTTAAAAAAGACACTTGCTCCCATGTCTTGCTGTCACTGAATCTACAGCACCTTGTTTTCAGTGCCTGTAGCACTGCTGTGCTGGGTAGTGTCTGTGTGGTCTCTTCTCCAGAGACTACCTGGCTGTGTGCAGGTAATTCTGAAAGCAGTACCAGAGGTTAGGCCCCTTGACTTTCTTATTGTCAGGGATAGGTCCAGAAAAATAAGCTTGGGCTGGGTACAGTGGTGCATATTTGTAATCTCAGCAACCTAGGTGGCTGAGAGAGAAGGATTGCAAGTTTGAGGCCAGTCTCAAAAAATAAAAAAGACTTGGGGATATATCTCATCCCCATGATGTAGCTCAGCAACCTAGGAGGCTGAGAGAGAAGGATTGCAAGTTTGAGACCCTGTCTCAAAAAATAAAAAAGACTTGGGGATATATCTCATCCCCATGATGTAGCTCATCTTGGGGATGTATCTCAGTGGTTTCAATCCCCAGTACCAAGAAAAAGAAATAAGCTTGGTTCAAGAACATATTACCAGCCATTCAAACAGCCGTAGAGTCTTGAGATGAGAGTAGCCCAATCCTTCTGGGCATGGTGGCACACACGTGTAATCCCAGCTACTCTGGAAGTTGAGGCAAGAGGATCACAAGTTTGAGGCCAGCTCTTATTTGGGCAATTTATTGAGACAAGACCCTGTCTCAAAAATAAATAAGGCTGGGGAGGTACGTAGCTCAATGGTAGAGCACTTGCCTAGCTTGTGTGAGGCCTCCATTCAATCCCCAGTACCATTAAAAAAGGAGAGAGAAAACAGTTCAATCCCCTCCATCTTTTTGTAATAGTACATATTCCTAATAAGTTGCTGAGAAATACACTATGTTTCTCCCGGCCTCCACAAATAGGCTTCAATGTCCTTTAGGACGAGCTGATTTTTTTAAATTAATCATAATGCACACTCTTAAGCATAAGATACTTTTTAACATGTCAAATCTTGCCACCAAAATATGAAATTGGAGGTATTTTCTACCTCGTATTGTTGCAACATTGTTTTCCCACAGTCTTATGAGAATGTTGTACATTAAAATTTTGGAGGTATCTCTACAGCTATAATTGCTTTGTGGGACATTGCTGCTTCTATACAATTTTTGTTCTCTCTAGCGGACCTGTGATGGACAGAGTAGCATATATAAAAACACTTTATTGCTTCACTTGGTCTTATTTCTTTCTCCTGTGACCACTTATTATCTTAAAGCATTTCTACCATTCATACCCATTCTTTCAAGTGTGATCATTAGTGTGAAGTCATGGAAAACACTGTTGTGAGCCAGACACAAAATACATCCATTACTCTAAGGATTCAATTAACTTCGTCATGGCAACGTGAGTGAAGTAAACATACTTTAGCTGTACAACGGATTCCAAGGCAACTGCAACCTTCCTCCAGCCTATCCATGGGAACGGTCTTTTTAGCAAAAGGGTTGTATTACTTTCCTGTAGCTGTTGTGACAAAATACCAGAACTTAAGGGGCTTAGAACAACAGAAATTTATTGTCTCACAATTCTAGGAGGCAGAAGTCTGCAATTAAGGTATTGGCAGGGCCATATGCCCTCTGAAGGCACTAAGGAAGGGTCTTTTCAGGGTCTCTTTCCTAGCTTCTGGTAGTTCCTTAGCACCAGTGTTCATGTGGCCTTCTTCCTGTGTGCATGTCTGTCTCCAAATCCCTTTTTATAAGTGCCCTGGTTATATTGGATCAGAGGCCCACCCTACTCCATTATGGCCTCATCTTAACCACATCTGCAGTCACCTTCTTTCCAACAAAAGTCACATTTTTAGGTACTGGGGCTTAGGATTTCAATAAATGAATTTTGGGGAAGATACAATTCAGGCTATAACAGATATTCATTAAAAACTGCATTTTCAAAGAAAGAATTCCACCAGAGTAGGCTGCATTCCAAATTGTGAGCTTCCTCTCCACATTATGGTGGATCAGTCCCACCCTCTCTGCCATTTCAGTTTACCAACTGGACACTCTTAGCTCTGACAGGATTATACTCTGCTGTTAACCTGATGACTGCTCACAAGCTGGGGCTGAGTGTGGCCTCCTACCACTCACAGATTCCCATGCCACATAAGTTCCACTCACCTGAAAGAGGCCTCTGGCAGGTAAGCACGAGTGCCAACTCTTCAGCTATCTCTATGGCTTCCCTGGTGCCACTGCTCAGGAAGCCCAGCCCTCTCTGCTGTCTCCTGCCCTTGAGATGGTGTGTGACACCCATTTTCTACAACTGTCCTTTGCCATCTCCATGGCCCTAGCCTCCCTAATATGTTCGCCTTGATCCACATTCACCTTACACATGTTTTTCATGTCTTTCTCTAATAAGATGTGAGCTGCTTTTTTGTTTGTTTTTGTGGTACCCAGTATTGAACCCATAGGTGCTTAACCACTGAGCCATACCTGTAGCCTTTATTATTTTTATATTTTGAGGCAGGATCTTCTTAAGTTGCTGAGGCTGGCTTTGAACTTGTGATCCTCCTGCCTCAGCCTCCCAGGTTACTGGGATTATAGATATGTGCCACCAACCTCAAGATGTGAGCTTGAAAGCAGGAGAATCTAACCCCCCGCCTCCCTGTTCTCCCTCCCCCCCCCCCTTAAGTGTATTCTTTCACATGCTTAAAGGGTTACAGAATTTGGTAACTTCCTTCTTTTAATATTAAAAATATAGTTTCTTGGAAACATTTATTGGCTATTTCTGTTATTGTTGAGTTTTAGGTATCAAATTAAAACATGAAAACAAGTTTTTATGTCTCTTGATAATAAGTGAAGTAAAAGCAAATGGTGTTTTTCCCTACAAGAAAACCACATATAGAATTTATAGAATTATTGGAATTCCTGATACCACATTGCAATGTTAATCTGTTGCTTCTCTCTGTCATTTAGGATGATCATCGTCATCTGAACCAATTCATAGCTCATGCTGCTCTTGACCTTGTGGATGAAAACATGTGGCTTTCAAACAATATGTATTTGAAAACTGTGGACAAATTCAATGAGTGGTTTGTGTCAGCATTTGTCACTGCAGGGCATATCCTTAACTTATTAGTAAAGATACTGAACTAAGGTTGGGTTAGCAAATAGAACATGGAGCACAGATACAGGCTCTGAGTCTATAGGTTTCAAAGAATCAGGTAAAAATTTTCAATTTATAGGCTACTTTCTTTTAATAGTTTTTGTAATTATAGTTGGACACAATACCTTTATTTTATTTATTTTTTCTACCACTGAGCCACAAACCCTGCCCTAGGCTACTTTTCTTTTAGGAAAAACTGTGTTTTAACAGATCATTTTAAAGTTATCATCTATGAAACTCAGGTTTAGCCAGGTGCAGTGGTGCACGCCTGTAATCCCGGCAACTTGGGAGGCTGAGGCAGGACGATTATAAGTTCAAGACCAGCCTTAGCAACTTAGTGAGGCCCTAAGCAACTTAGCAAGTCTCTGTCTCAAAAAAGGGCTGGGGATTTGGCACCCCTGGTTTAAATCCCCAGTACCTCCCCTGCCCCCAAAAGAAAAACAGGTTTATCTGAATCATATTGAGGATGATTTTACTTTGTATGTATTTCTGACTTAAAGATTATATTCTCTTTAAGGTAAAACTAAGTTGACTTTAGACCCAGTTTATGTATTTAACTTTTCCATCGCAAACTACCATGCATGTGACTAATTTGAGTAACATAGCAATTATTGCTTTTTCACTTTTCATTTCTAATAAAGATTATACCTTAATTATTTCACATATGAGATTTATTATGCTTCATGATATAAGGCAAGAAGATGGAATCAAGAACTTCTTTACTGATGTCTATGATTTATATATAAAGGTATGGTATCTTCTACAATTTTTAAAAATCTGATTATAAAAAAGGATTCTAGCTTTGACAGGAAACTGGACTGTTTAAGTAACTCCTTTTTGCAGTTTTTCATTTCACACTAGATTTTCCCAATTAGAACTAGCTTTGGCAACTTTCTCAGCAGGCAAGTCTTCACTGACAAGTTAAGATGTGTTTGGGAAAACAGCTCTTGGTAGGCTACTTCCCTGATAAATTAAACTATATTCACCAAAGGAAGAAGAATGATACCTTATCAAGTGATTGTGGTGTGATGGTCAGTAGCTTCTTTCCTTATTAGTAATTTCATTTAATATTAATTTTTTCCTACATGTTATAATGTGCTTACTTTAGCTAAGGAACTGATCATTTAGCTTTGTGTTAAAGAATATTAAAACCCCAATTAAAAAATGTTACAAGAATAACTTTTCTTAACACTGAACATATGACAAAAATTTTTCCTTTGTTAATGTAGTCCAAAGGACCTTACAGATTAATCCATGTATTTGTAATGTATGAATACAAGTAGGTTTGTGTTTCTCATACAGGGTGAATCTGGAAAATTAATTTAATTTACACCCACAATATCTATCCTACTACCATTAGTTTTGCTACAGGTACTTCTCAAAACTAAAACACCAAAACAAAAAATTTTCTCAAGGGGACATTAATGTTTAACAATGGAGCATTTTCAGTGAAACCTAAAAATGTGGTATTCAGACTTGTTTTGAATATCTTTGATGAATTTTTTTAAATAGATTTTTTTTAGTTAGATGGACACAATACATTTATTTTATTGATTTATTTTTACGTAGTGCTGAGAATCGAACCCAGTGCCTCATGGGTACCGCTGAGCTACAACCCCAGACCAATCTTTGATGAATTTTTTAAAAAATATTTTTTAGTTGCCAATGGACCTTTTATTTTTTTATTCATATGTAGTGCTGAGGATCGAACCCAGGGCCTCACACATATCAGGCAAGTGCTCTACCACTGAGCCACAATTCTAGCCCCTCTTTGATGAATTTTAATTTAAAAGTTTTAAATAATTTAGAGACTTGATTTATCAGCCTTTTTGCTTTGACAAACCAATACCTTCTTCTTTCCTAGTTTGCAATGAATCCATTTTATGAACCCAATTCTCCAATTCGATCAAGCGCATTTGACAGAAAAGTTCAGTTTCTTGGGAAGAAACATCTTTTAAGCTGAATGCAGAAAAATTCTGAAGTAAACAGTGTCACCACAATGGGGTATACTCAGGAATGTGTATATTGTAAGTAACTTGATTAAATAGTCTGGAAAACTTTTACTTGTCTCAGTTTATCTAAATCTAATAGAATTTCTTTATAAAGTAGTTACATTGTGTTTCATGTGGATTATCAACAATTTGCTTGTGAAATGTTATTTATAAAGAGCTTTTTATCAATAATCTTAATAAATCGAAAATAAGCTTTTGACTTTCCTGATCTTGATATAACAATTCATTAAAAAACAAAAAAGTCAAGATTGGGTAGACAAAAAGATTCTCCAGAAGTGAATGAGCTTGATAGCGCATACATTGACTGTATATTTGGAGATGTTATAAAACTTTATAGTACATAGTATTACTCAAGAAGCTGAAGCAGAAAGATTTGCAGTGCTAAATGTTGCATGCCTGCCTCTGTCAGAGGGTAGGAATAGGATCCTACTATAGTTCTAGAATCCTGGACCCATGTATGCAAAATAGACCAGTTATAGGCCACAGTGAAACATATTGCCTCCATGTCCTTATGTTCTTGTAGTTCCTCTCTCTGAAGACAGTAAACTAAGGGTTAAATGGACCTGTTGATCTCTATTGTAAAAAACTGTAATGCAATTTAAGAAATGTTATTAAAGAAAAGTTTAGATTACATTAACATTTGCAGTTGGCCTTTTTGGCTCTACACTGGGGGGACCAGGAATGGTCTTTCCTGTCCTTTAATAGTGTCTGATTTGACTGTAAAATAGTAAATATACAAGGAAGAGCAAGTAATAGAACTGGAGTCTTTGTGTGTGTGTGTGCTAATTGTGAGCATATCTGAATAACTTTTGAGCAAGTAATTCTAAGCTTGGTCTTATATCCTGTTATGAAGTTGCTACTGTCATTTTTTTTTACTCTATTTATTTAATATCTTAAATAAAGCTGTATGTTCAATATTGTGGTAATTTTGCTTATTTCTGGTATTGGAATTGAACTCAGGAGTGCCCTATCACTAAGATAAATCCCCAGCCCTTTTTATTTTGTATTTTGAGATAAGAACTTACTAAAATTGTCCAGGCTAGCCTTGAACTTGCGATCCTCCTGCCTCAGCCTCTGAAGTATAGATGTGTGCCACTGTGCTGGCAATTGAGGTAGTCTGATAACCAATTTTGAAGGGCCACCCAACACAACCAGTTTTAGTCCTATTTCCCCTATTGAAAATCTGCAAAGTAAAATAACCTAATCCAATGGACAGATCACTTCTGAGTAGGCACCATAGCTTTGGGAGCAGGCAAAGATACTCATAGAAATCTAGGAGTAATTCCAGCCACGCTAATAGGAGACCCAAGCATGTATTTATTGTGTATAACTTGCCCCACCCTTAGCATATAATCCTGAGGGCTATAAAGTGAGCCAGCCAGGAGCAGCAGTGTGTTAACAGCAGGAAGTCATAGGGCTGAGAAGATCTGCGTCAGGCTGTGTCTCAGCTACATCGGAGTGGTACCCTGCAAATAGCCTTCCTTTTCTCAAGCCTTGTGAGGGTGAGACTATATTCCCAGAGTTAAATGCCAATTTTCATATGTGGCTGCATCATTGAAGGAGCTCAAAGGGACGTCCATCAGAATGGGACTTCAGAAGTGGGCCACATAGGGAAGCAGCATTCAAGAAAGGGGCATGGAGAAAACACAAGAGGCTGACAGGATAGAACAAGGACTGGTTTAAGGGGGAAGTCAGGAGCTGAGCATTAGAAAAACAAAGGTGTTTAGCTTGAATCTGGTAGGTGATGCCTTGAAGATTCTGGAACACAAGAGTAAAGGGGTGAAATCAATCATAAGAAAACCATACTGTACTAGGCACATGCATGTCAGCACTAAATTGTTAATATACATTAGTACTCCCAAAGTGACCCAGATAAAATAAACAAATCTGGTTTTGTCCTCTCTAGCTGAAAATTTCCTAGGATGCTTCATTCAACATCCATGTTTCCTATGTGTAGAAGAGTTTCTGCTCTGCCCATGCTACTACCATAATAACTCTGTTACTTCAATATTTCTGGTTGACAGTCCTTGGCATCCTGGAAACCACAGACTATACGAGCTCTACCTTTCACTGGGTGCATGTGGTCGTCTTTTTTTCTCTTCAGTACTTTACTGCTTTATAAAATATACTGTGAAAGAACTTATATCATGGTGTCATAATAATAAAAGTGAGAAGTTTGCATAGGAATGTAAAAAGTAAGGTTTTCTTTTAAGATAAGGAACGTGTGTTGTTTTAACTTCAACTAGGGAATTTTTCACAAGGGTGAAGAAAAGTGGCAAAAACTTTAGTCCACTGATGGTATTGCAATTTTCCATCTCATGTTCCAAGTTCAGCAGGTTGCCTTTTTCTTAAAAACACTCTTCCAGGAATGGGGATGTGGCTCAAGCGGTAATGCGCTCGCCTGGCATGCGCGGGGCACTGGGTTCGATCCTCAGCACCACATAAAAATAAAGATGTTGTGTCCACCGAAAACTGAAAAATATTAAAAAATTCTCTCCTCTCTTTAAAACACACAAACACACACACACACACACACACAAAACAAAAAAACACAACTCTTCCTGCCTCAGCCTCTGAAGTATAGGTGTGTGCCACTGTGCTGGCAATTGTGGTAGTTTGATAACCAATTTTGAAGGGCCTCCCAATACCACCACTGTTTTAGTCTTATTTACCCTATTGAAAGTCTGCATTCATATACAGCTTGAACTTAGTTGTATGTATGACTATTGTAATGATAAGACACCATGTGGTGAGCAACTCCTTTACCATGGGGCTGTGAAGCATGACCTACAGTTCTTCCCATCTGTTCACTGGGAGGCTGGGCAGCTGCTTCTCACCACTCCTGCTACCATAGTCCACTTGTTCCCCACTTCTATTCCCTTTTCCATATTGTTCTAATTTGTATAGGTGGTACCTGCCATTCGAGTACCTTTTACTTTCTTTAAACAAAAGAGAATCAGATTTCTCGGCTAATTTTTGCTGCTGGTTGAAGTGCTTTTCCATCAGCTGCAGTTTGTTTGAAGGTCAAAGCTATTTTGTAAAGTTCTTCCTCCTCTTGTTTTTACATTTCAGTATCATGTTTGGTAAATTAGTGTTCACCAAAATTCTTTAAGACAACATGAAGCTGGATTATTCTCCCTTCAGCCTTTCTCTGTGGACACAAAGATCTGTTCCTTTGATCATCTTTTGTTGCACAGGTCTAAAATTTTGGGAAGCCAAAGAAATGATTTGTTACATATCCATACAGTTAATGGATACTCTATATACAGTAGAAATACTCCAACTATATATATTAAGAAAATATGACAAGGCACCATATAGTGGGTACACTTTTGATTTAAAAACAAGTTCAGGGGTTGTGGTTGTGGCTCAGTGGTACAGCGCTTGCCTAGCATGTGTGAGGTACTGGGTTTGATCCTCAGCACCACATAAAAATAAATAAGGTTTGTGTTTAACTACAACTTTAAAAAATTGAAAATTTAAAAAGTGCTGCTCAGCTGAGCGCCGTGGTGCATCATGTAATCCCAGCAGTTTAGGAGGCTGAGGAGAGGATTGCAAGTTCAAAGCCAGCCTCAGCAAAAGTGAGGCACTGTCTCTAATAAAATACAAAAAAGGGTTGAGGATGTGGCTCAGTGGTTGAGTGCCCCCAAGTTTAATCCTCGGATACCCACCCCCCAAAAGTACAGCTCATTCTAACATGAGAATATGAAGAAACCACCCCAAATTTAAAATGTTCCCCTATGACAAAACTATCCCTTATGTTAGGAAATCAGACTTAGCCTGCTTACTACAATGATGTGTGATTCTCAATGGTTGAGGAAAAATTTATTAATCTAGTTTTTCAAATTTTACTTCCCTACATGACAATGGGCTCCCCTACTCCACAGCTCCATAGCTGAGGGTCTTGTCCACATTAATTGCAGTCTAGATTTGAATTGTCTCCACAGGATAGGCATAGCATATGAACTTGACCCATGAAAGACCACAATCTGCTTTACCAAGTCTGGTCATTGCAGCAAGTCCTCTTTTTTTTTTAAAGAGAGAATTTTTTAATATTTTATGTGGTGCTGAGGATCGAACCCAGTGCCCCGTGCATGCCAGGCAAGCGTGTTACCGCTTGAGCCACATCCCCAGCCCAAGCAAGTCCTCTTTTTAGAACAAATAATCTTCAGAGCAAAAAAGTATCGAGTGTTTCCTTAGAGAAGGCACTAAATAATACCTTATCAAAGATGTCTTCATTTACCCTCTCACAAAGTACAATCCTTACTATAAAGTTGGCTTCTGTGTTGGGAAGATGGGGTTGCATGCGCTGCACAAATGAGCAACTGTAAGTCAGATGGATTCTAATATGTAGAATGAGAGAGAATGATTAAATCATTTTAAAGAGATGAAGACAATCAAAAAAGCAATGCAATGTAAATGCATTAGATTTTAATCTTTAATATTTAACATTATTGCTTTAGGAAGTCATTTCCCTGAACCAAGAATACAATGCTAATTACATAAAAATATACAGATATAAAAAGTAGTTCTCCATTTTCCTGGGGAGGGGGGGTGGGGGATGGGCACAGAACAATCCAAGTATAACTTCTAGAATAGTCAAGTTTTTTGTTTTAATTAGTTACAATTGTGGTCATCTCATTTATTAGCTCTAACTTACATATTTAAATTAAAGAAACATTATTAGGCAACCATTACAATTTATAAATGTAAGGTGCCATTATTGAGTAAATAGATTTCCTTCAGAGTGGATGTGTCCCTTCTCCCACCAACTAATGAAGCAGCAAAAACATTAGTTGAAATTTATTAGTAGATGATACACTGCTGCAAACACTAATTCTCTTATCCACTCTTAAGTGCATGTATGAATTGGTTAGAACGCACTGATAATCTAACAATCAACAGCAAGATGAGCTTGTCTTGGGCTTTCGGTGGAGATGGACCGTGTCGGTCTGAATCAAGTGATCTGACCTATCCTCGTTAGCAAGAACTCTTCGAACCGCTTCCTCAAAGGCTGCTGCAACATTGGTGGCATCTTTTGCACTTGTTTCAAAGTAAGGATAGTCGCCGTTGTCTCTGCACCAGGCTTGGGCTTCTTCAGTGGACACCTGCCGCTCATTTATGTCGATCTTGTTGCCTAAAATCACAAAAGGAAAACTTTCGGGCTCTTTTACCTCTGCATAATATATGAATTCTTTCTTCCAGTTACTCAAGTTCTGGAAGCTCTGTGAATCATCAACACTAAAAGTGAGCAGGCAACAGTCAGAACCTCTGTAAAATGGTGTCCTCAGGCTTCGGAATCGCTCTTGGCCAGCTGTGTCCCAAATCTGCATGGTAACAAAATGTCCATCCACCTCCAAATCTTTGTTTAAAAATTCCACACCTATTGTATGGAAGAGCTGGGCATCAAACTTATTAGTTACATATCTGTTCATAAGGGAACTCTTCCCAACTCCACCATCTCCCAGGAGAATTACTTTAAAAAGCGATGATTTTCCTGCCATTGTTAATCTTACAAGTTTTGACTTCAGAACCCTGTAAAATAAAAAGGTACCATTAAATTCCTTCACACCTGAATACTCTGCATTATTCTAGAAATATTAGCATTTAAGTGAACTAAAATAGCCCCAATTCCTTTTTGCAAGGAGCACACCTAAATAATAATTGTCATTACCTGAGCATTAAACCATGTGCCAACTTCTATCCTACTATTTATTCCCTAGAACAGCTAGCAGGGACTCACTCTTCCTCTTTCTTGGGTCACAGCTACAAATCTCTCATTCAAGACCAAATCTGACCCCAAAGACCTGGCTCTGAACTATTGATCTATTAAGCCCCTCCTTGCTCACAATAAGCCACCTCATCCCTTGTTAAAGAGGTGGTTAAGAGACCAAGTCTTCAGCTTTCTTTAGTAT